CATCTCACCAATACCGTGTAATGCAAGGCATCTAAACAGTTGATTCTCTGTTCCCACTTTTGTATTGAAACCACCCAGAACAGTGAAAATATCATCACTGCTGTTGCAGCACACTCAGCTTGGCATACAATCTTTCCTGTTACTGCCACAGCTGCACCTTCTCTAGAGCTACAACAGCTAACTACCGCTAAGCCAAGTCCCTTTTTCTGGACGAACCTTGCCGTAATGATTCGGTCAGATACCACACTTCGGTCTACAACGACTTCTACTGACTTCCAGTGCAACACCACCTCTGTGAGCGCGCCTTGAGCAATAGAAACTGCCTTTTACAGCGGTCACAGCACATATTCAAAGCACGTCTTGTATTTTAGCTACCTGTATTTTCCTACGATCCAGTTCTTCAGCAACCGCTGTAGTCTGTCTGCGTCTATTCATTGTTTGCACCTTCCACATGGAAGGTTTTTCCTCCATTCTGAAATTTATCGAGACTCGCGTTTATAACAGCGATGGTTCTGACACGCATGGCGAAGGTTTTCCGAAAGCAAAGCGAAACAGCTACTTGAAAAACCAATCGGTCGAAAACCAAGAATAAACTGGGACAAGTGCATGGAAGAACTCTGCTCCAGACTCGGGCTATCTTCTGCCGAAACTCAAACACCGGCACAGGATCAGGAAGATTAAAAGCATTGTGTGACGCGTCTGCCTCCTCGGCCCCAAAGGATAATAGACCACTGAAACTGACTGGCTGGAATGCTCATAGCCGGTGAGGTTTCCGGTCAGTTACGAACAAAATCTGGTTCAAATGATCAGTTTAGTATGGTTTCTGTAATCAGTCATAGATCTGCTGAGTGGGTGATCGATCGGTTTGAAACAGCCTCCCGGGCGCCTTGTTAGCCGTTCGTCTCAGGGTTCACGACAACCCTTCTCAGCAACCGAGGGAGAATGCACTACAATGTAGTTCGCTCCGCCAAGAATTTCATGACGTTGTACGTTGCCCAGTCCTCATGATTCGGACGGTAGGATGGACTTTGAGGACTAAGCCGAGTTTGCCATACCAAAAGCATAACTTTGATATAAATAACTCTCACATGTACAGAGCTCATACGATCTCTAGATAGCAAACT